TTTTTTTTTTTTTTTTTTTTTTTTTTTTTTAAATATTGAATTACATTCAAAATTACGTTAGCCAAATGGCTGCTTTTTTAGTTCTTTTCCTTCAGAACTATCCGTTTATATTTACTTTTACGTCAATTTCATTCTTTTCCTGCCAATGATTACTGCGAACGCCTTTCACTGGCGCTAATACAATCCAGTTAAATAATCGAAATGAATTTTTAAGGCTGATGCTTTTACTTACTGGCATAGCAAACGTATAATCCAAGTTCCAGCTACTACCGTCGACCGTGCAGGTAAATTTCAGAAGAAATCGTTTGACAGAGCCTGGAAGCCCTCCAACCAAAGAACTCCGAAGTTCCAGGTTCGTTTAAGCAACTGTTCTTTAGAAACCAAATCTCTAAGTGAATTCTAGTGAGCAAAGAGCACATCTTCTAAGTACTACCTCAAACCACTTTGGTAGAAATGCATCGGTTACTTTTCAGCCACGCCACATAAGCTAAAACAGCATAAAGTAAACTAAAGGTTTTCCTACATGAAGAAAAAACTTTTTAATTAGATTATATAAAAAAGATTCCAACAATTTAATCAGCAAATTTTTCCAGCAAGGAACTAACATAATTTAAAGCAAGAGTTACGAGAAATAATGTTTAACTAGGTTTGAAATTCAAAAATATTTCAGAAAAAAGCATTTGTTGACAAAACTCTTGAAGTTACAGCAGTTATAAATGCAAAAGACGTCACTTCGGTCTCACCAAACCGCTTAAATATCCTTGAAGACGCGCGAGACAGAATGCAACAGAAGGCAAGTTTTTTTCAGCTGATCAGAAAAAATACAGTTCTATATTCTTTCTAGTTTATTTTCTAACTACTAAAATACACCATCATGCTCACCAAACACCAAAATCAAATGATTACCGGACAAAAAGTTATAATTTTGCGAACAAACTTTGGTCTACAAATTTGAAATCCCCACCTCTCAAAAAGCACATAACAGAACTAATTGAAAGCAGCTCGAAGTGTAAACAGAAGTACAGTTATAGAATCAGGTATAAATTGCAAGAACTTTTTATATTATTCAATCTTTAACAACAACTTGGTTTTTCATACAAAGCTGCTGTACCAAAAAATATTAGGCCTTCTAACAGACCATTTGTCTGAAATTGACTCGCCTAAAGAAAGATTTTAGTCCAAAAAACTAATTAGTTTCGTTGTCCAAGTCAGTCCCACAACTTTTTTCAAGTGAAAGAAAAATAAAAAGAAAAAGGTCGTTAGCAAAACTTGTTTGAAGATTCAAAACTATAAATAAATTTACTTGCTTTAATCCAAAAAAAAAACCAGCTTAGAGAGAACTGTAATTCTTAACAACCTGAAACTGGTAACCTTAAGCAGTACTAAGCCATCAAATATGAAATTGAACCTAAAACTCATAAACCATAAGGTGTTAAATTGTACTCAGGAAATGAGATTTATATGTTATATGTAGCTCTTCTTTACTATTCTTGACCTTCTCAACCTAAACTGTTTAGGAAAAAGCGATTTCTTCTTGACAAAAATCAGAATGGTGCGCATAAATCCGATAATTCTATTTATATTACAAATCTGCATTGCATTCAATGCTTCTCAGCACATGTCAACCGGAACAATGGAGCAGAAAATTCTAGGAGAACTATTAAAAAACTATGACGAAAAAATGCGGCCACCGCAAGCTAACGTAACGGGTAGGTTTAACAGTTTAGCGCTGCCGGTGGTCATCTAAAAACTTGCTGCTGAAGAAAACCCGATACCAATTTTCAGACTTACTAAATCTAAAAAAATACTACACCTTGCAGATATAAAAAAAAAAATGAATTTATCAAAGTAAAAACGATATTTCCTTCAAAAATTAAATACATAATCTAAAACACGTTTCTCCTCGGCAAACAATAGCGATTTTTTTCAAAATCCTTTTTAATTCATTTCTCCTCAACACATATAAGTATTACGTCTCAAAACACAAAAGAAACCAAATACGTCACTATTGCAGGACCGTCACCTGTGATTGTCACAGTTAACATGTTGCTCAGAATGCTCAGCAAAATCGATGTTGTTAACATGGTATACTTTAATATCACCAGGGCACCATGGTTGGAATAAACAATCAAATACCAGAAAGGAGCTATTTTCAGGAATACAACTTGCAAATAACATTCAGAGAACGATGGTTAGACAAACGGCTCGCTTACAAAGACCGATACCTCACTCGCAGTGACTTACCTCATTTTCTGACTGTAACATGGGTTAAGGATAACATTTGGATACCGGATACCTTCTTCCCGGTTAGTCTTTCCTAAATCCCCAACAAACAGTTGAATAAAAACATCCTCATATGCCACTCAGGTGGAAACACAAAAGTGGGGTAGACTCTGTGCGTCAAAATCTGGTTTTTGTCAAAAACAAATGAGTCTCTAAAACATTAACGAACAACTATATAATTTTCAATCAAAAAGTTGCTCTTA